AAATTAAAGAGGCATTAAATCTATTTTATGAGTTGAATAAAAAATCCCAAAACCAAACATAACATTAGAAAAATCATAAATACTTTTTTTTTTCATTTTCCATTCTTAAGACAATGGGATACTCAATTAAGCCAACAAAAATTGAGAAAAAAGAGTTATGCCATTGAAAATCGTTCATTATCTCTTCCATATTAGTTTACCAAAAGAATGTTCAAACAAGAGAAAAATAAAAATTTAATAAGAATTTGTATCTTAGATCATGTTAAAGTAATGAGAGGAAGCTTTTCTTGATATATAGTAAATTTCATGAAAGATAAAGTTAAGGAGAAAAATGTTAACAAATGATGCTTTAACTACTAAAGAGCCCCAAATCCTCTAGTTAAAAGAGGAAGAGCAAAATTTTGAAGCATTTCTACTAATCGCATTTGCATAAGATCTAATATAGTTATTAGAATGACCCTTACCCATTAACATCACAATACCAATCAAGAAGTAAGGAGAAAGAGAGATTTGTATTGATAGCCAAGCGTACTGATGGCATTGGAAAAGAATTAAATACCATCAATATAACAATTGGGCAGCAAAAAATAACAAGCATGCTAGAAAAAAACAAATAAAAGAGTAAGTGCCCTCACTACCAATAAATCCTATCTTTTATATATCTATAAAGTTAAATATGATATTTATAATTGAATATGCCTTCACTCAAATGCCCTTCAACAACATGCTCCTGCAACTCAACTATTGGAAGCAATTTCCACCATTATCCCTTAATGCATCTTGCGAGCATCTCTTGATGTGAATCCCCGACTACACATGAAAGTTCCCTCCAGCATGCATCCATGCCAAGATTCCTCAACTCTCTTCTAGAAAGCAACCTTGTCACTCGCCTTTATTTCCTCATCCCATGCTCACATACATGATTGCATTAGCTCTTCTGTATAGGCTAGGTTTTCTAAAGCTAATGGCTCCCTCTAGGGTTGTTGTCGAATCTTTTAGGCTTGCAGATTAACCCTCCTTTTCACTTACCAAACATTGCTCTCCCCTCTGAACATCACCTAAAATTCCTTATTTTAGATCTACTTTATATGTGTGCTTACCTCATTTGCTCTGCCCTTCTCAACTTTCCATTTCCTTTATCCTAATTACTCAATCATCTTTCTTTATCATAGGTCATAGGGTTATGATGGTTCCCTCCATGTCATTATTACCACCCCCTATTTCAATCGATATGGTCATCTTTGAGGGGGGGAGTAAGTACCTTGGTTTGAGTATGTTGCCATCATTGTTCACTCAATCCTCATTATTTTTTTAACAAAACAAAGTTTCACATTTGCATAAGCAAGCATATATGTTTCAAGACAAACTTGTGCTCATTTGCACTCATGATGATGTCTTTGAACTTGCTAAATCATTTCTTACTTATTGCTAGCAAATTATTTGTGGGTCATCCCAACTTGGATGTCATTCATAAATTCTAATCAAATCTTCAATTGGTTTGTGAATATTCAATTAGATTTTTTTATTATCATCATATCATTATAAGTTTTTCTTTAAAATCATACTACTACAGACTTTTCACCCATTGTACCTACTATGTCAATAGCTTTCCAATATATTGTTGAAATATCATCTCATTTTATTGCTTTAATGGAACTACCTATCACCCTTCCATGGGTGACTTTTTCTTTGTTATATTTACAACACTTTAATCAATCAACTCTATACTCTTTGGGATATATTTTTGATAAACTTTTGTAAGTTGATTGTGCAATTGGTCATCTTTCTAGGCTTTCAATGGCTAGGGTCCTAGTAGAAATTGATGTTACTTCTTGAATTCAAAAGGATGTGTTGATAGGTGCATTATCTTATAATTGTTGGGAGAATGTTACATTTTAAGGCATTCTTAATATTTCTCATTATGCAATAATCTTTAGCCATAATTTTTCTAGTTACTTGAATGCACATCCAAATTTTAAAAAAAAATTATATTAAGAATTAAGAGATATGCTCAAATGATCAAATCTTTACTTATCTTATAGGCTATTATTATTCTTTCTTATCAATTGAGATTTGCACTCAAAATTAGAGTCTAAGTGATTTTTCTCTAGAAGCTAAAACTATTTTGTTTGCCCATGCTAGTTTATAGCTATATTTTAACACCACTTGCAAATAATACCTTACATATTAATCCACATCCTAAGTTCCTCATATTCCTCATATGGGTAAAGTATGAAATGATCATGATTCACTATACTCTCTAGATTTGGATAGGAGACTACTTGGTGATAAGGTGCTAATAATAGGTACTTTCATTTCTTATTCATTAGTTGAGTCCTAAATGAAAAGAAATAAAAAAATTACCACTCTCCTATTTTCACCAAGCTTGAAGGTGACCCAACAAAGTGAATTGCAAACTTTGATTCTTTCTTGTACGACTATGTGAAAATGTTTGATTTCCAACAAAAAATATATCTAAAAAAAAAAAAAAAATTCTGCAGCCCTTCCAGCAAAAAAATTCTGCAGCCCTCTCAGCCCTGTTTCCTAGGTGCCCACCAAGTCGTTGTAGCCTGAGCTGCCTGCGCCCGCTCTCCCTAAAATAATCTGATTTTTCAAATGATTTTTTTAATAAAAAAATTGAATTTTAGTGTCGTACCTTATCAAAGAAGTGAGAGGGAAGAGAGAGAGAATGTTGTTCAGTGCTTCTTCATTCGTCAATTTTATTCAGAGATTTCATCTATTTGTTATAAGTAACTCAAATATCAATTTAGTTTTCAATTATTTTAATTATTATATAGATTTTTTTTATATTGATTTGAATTGATTAATTTCTACAATATTTTGATTGTGATATTTGCATAAGTAAGAAAGGCTGGCTATTAACACTATAAAATGGGTTGGATGTTAAAACATAATACCCTACGTAAGAAGGTTGGCCGACGAGCTTTTCTTTAAAGATGATTGTGGTGTTATCCTTATTGTAGCATGTAACAAATGATCGATTACGCCGACGGGCAGAGAGTGATGACTCTTTATTGATTTAATGAAGTCACCTGTAATAAAACTTGATTAATTGAATATGATAATTGATTAATTGGATAAGTGATAATTGATATAACTTATGACCAACTGAGAATCAGTTGGGATAAAAGATATTGAAAATACAACATTAAAGCTGGATGTCTTGCCTTGTTAAGTCATACATTGATGCATACATATATTGATAGCACTGATGATATTGACAGATGCATTGATAATATTGGATGCATTGATAATATATAAATAGATGACGCATACGAATAGATAAGATAGAATCTTTTAGAGCTTTATGAATGATTTCCACATCATTATTTTAATGATTTATTGAATTTTTAGATTCATTATAATGATTCCTTACTTTTATTATTGATTATTTTGAGTTTTATTAATAATATTTGATCATTAACTATATTGATTGCTATTGATTATATTAGAATCAAAATGCTGAGCTTTTGAGCTCATTATGTGGATTTTAATTATTATGCCCACACATCCAGATCATTGCTAATGAGTTTTATTAATAAACATATCATATTGATTCTTTAGTCCTTAAACTGAAAACTTTAGTGGGTTTTGAAATATAGTTGGGCTTTTGAGTTCATTATGTGGATTTTAATGATTTCAGGCCAGGAAAGGATTCATAACCAGTTGGAATGAGATTGTTAAAGATCCTCAGGTTTTTTAATTATTATTTATTTTCATTTATTCTTTTATAGTAAGGAGCTTGTAATAGATTAGTGATTGTAGTGATCTCCTAGCTAGCATAAATGACAATTTGGGTGAATAAATAATAAAATATCTTGATGTATATGATTTTAATTGCTTTCACTGGTTATTATTTATATTGATGATTTATAGAAGCTCAAGTATATTCTTAAAATGATAAATATACAATTGTTCAAAATTAAATCTTGGGGCATTACACGCCTTGCCCGTCGTAGCTGACTATATGCTCGCCTCCTCGCCGGCAATGCCCCTAACTTGTCTGCATCTGTCTGTGCTGGCTTCAGCCTCACTGGCTGCCCTTCAGCATTGCTCGCACGCGTGACACGTGTGCGATTTGAACTCTACTAATCGGGAAGGTCATCAAACGCCCAAGCACTCCACTATAAAGGAAAAAAATGTTTTGAATGTTACTCTTTTATATTTAAATTAGAAATATATGAAAATTAAAATGAATTTATTAATTAAAATAAAATATTAAAATTAATAATAAATTAAATTAAAATTAATTAAAATAAAATTTTAAAATTACAAATTAATTAGAATTAAATATTAAAATTAAGAAAAAATAAAATATAATATTAATTTATTTCTTCACAAATCCGCCAAAAATAGTTAGGAAAATTTCCACTGGTATTTTGCCGGAAATTCCATTGGAAAGTTCCAACGAAAAAAAAGGCCACCGAAAATTCCAACGGAAAATTTCCCAACAGACATTTTGTCGGAAATTCTAGAGGAAAATTTTTAGTTGAAATCCATCATAAATTCCGTTTGAAATGCCCCTAAAAAATTCCAATTGTAATTCACATTTTTCCTATAGTGTGCTATTGCAATCTTTATTTTATCCGATATATTTTTTCTTTTTAATCTAACAATTCATGTTAAATATCCTTATTATCTAATTATAAATTTATGATCAAAAAAATTATAATATTTTTATTTCAACAAGTTCTTAAACAAGTGCACAGTAGTATCAAAGAAAGTCTTAGCTACATAGAAAATCATTGACTTAGTAGTTGATGAGTATCTAATTACTACACTTCTATCCATTAGAAATGAAGTATTCAATGAACAAATTGACAAAACAATCAGTTTCATAAATAAAACCAATAACAATTCAAATAAAAAAACTTGAACGTTAAAATGAATAAACTAAATTGAAAAGAATCCAAACAAATACTCCTCCCACTATCTCAAGCTTAAAAGGAATAAATCAACTGACCAAGAGAACTACATAATGCAAATGAAAGAAGATTGACATTCTCGATTTGATTATTATTTCCTATAGTGTGGAGCATAGAGGAAATGAACCACAATGTCAGCCATTAAACAAGCACAAGTCCAGTACCAAATGATCTTTAGTGTCCTCCATACCTTCTCTAAGTTATAGAATAAAATTTTGAGAAGGTATAACAATGAAAAATGGCATAAAAAAGGGAAGAAAACTGACTAATAGGACATGCAGCAAGCAGTCTTGTTTCCACCTGGTTGCTCGGGAGTGATAGCTATCTTAGTTCCCTTAAGAAGAGTTGAGTTTCCACTGGACTCTGCTTCATTGGCAACAAGAGCCTTTTTACTGATTATACGGTAAATCTCGGTTAGAACAGTGTGGAAGGCAGTTTCTACGTTAGTAGATTCGAGAGCAGAAGTTTCCATGAAGAAGAGGCTCTCACGCTGCGCAAATTCCTTGGCATCCTCGGCGGGGACAGCTCGAAGAGTGCCCAGATCAGATTTGTTTCCCACAAGCATAACAACAATGTTCTTGTCAGCATGGCCGCGTAGTTCCTCTAGCCACCTTGCCACATGATCAAAAGACTGGCGTTTGGTCATGTCATAAACAAGCATGGCTCCAACAGCTCCTCTATAATAAGCACTAGTCACCGCTCGGTATCTGACGATTAAAAATCAAAGGATGATAAGAGAGATTATAATGACATAATAGTTTTGAAAAATTTTATGCGAATAAAAGACTTTCATGGGCTTCTATTGTTTTCAAAGCAAATTTACGGGTGCTCGAAAGATTGACTGATTTTGTCGCAAAAAGATGATGATAAACGTAAACAAAAGATCACCTGATTTAGGTCTCGTTTGGGACGGCTTTCCTGTTGCTTCATAAAATAATTTTTTAGTATAAAAATTAAAATTTTTTTAACTAGAAAATTGTTTTAAGAAGCAGCAAGAAAGTCGCCCCAAATGAAGCTTTAAAAGCCTTAGTTTTGATTTAGTTATGATATTAGTTGGATTATAAAGGCTATTACAGATACAGCCATGCCTGGATAGCCGTGCCTTAATATTTAGTACTATCAAGAGGGAATGGTATAGGGAAGGTTTTCTAAACTGGAATCTATCTTGTGATCAACATCTAATTCCCAAAGAGTAAGCCAAATATCACTATTTGCAAAGCAATAAAATATAATGTAAGACTACTTAGTGCGTGAAATGATAAAATATCAGCCACTAATTAATTCAAACTGCATCTTTAACGATCTTTAAATGAAACAGACTCTCATTATTGTAACTTGAGAGGGACAAGTAGTCATAAATGAAGATCAAGCTAAGACCAGCATTTAGAGACAAGAAATTACTCTCAAAGCCCATTTGGTTGCAGGAAATTGGAAAATATATTTTGGGAATCGGTGCATTTAAAATTCCATCATTTTTCCGGATGCATTTTTCACTCAAATCTATAAAGACACTTACAGAAAATCGCCAATCTTATCAATAGAATCAAAGCATTTTTTAAGCAAAAACATAGACCCGTGCTTAATCCTATTGATAGGACTGGAGCATTTTTCCTATCAAAATATAGACTATCAATCAATTTTTGAGTTTGCATAATTACTAAAGTTGAAACAACTAAGAATCTTTAACGTCCAATTCTCATAAACACATTCTACTAGTTAACTTTGGAATTTTTATTTGTATACCACCCAAAACCTTCATATATACAAGCATAACACTCTTAACATCTAATCAGTGAATGATGATCATAACTGAAACAATTAAGTAAACATTATTAATTTATGATCACATATCCACACGATCCTTAAGGAAAAAAATATTACATGCTCCTTATTGACATGTGTTAGAAAGAGTATGTAATTATAAATTGTAAAATAATGATAGTTCTTTGATGTTTTAGCTCTTATCATCATGAGAACACCAAAATATGAAGGATGATCTATGATTTGATATAAAATGTGCTCTAATCCTATTGATGGGACTGGAGCATTTTTCCTTATAAAATTATGAACCATCCATCAAATTTTGATGTGTACATAAAGACTAGTTAAAACAACTAAGTATCATTAATATCCACTTCACATAAATGCAATCTCCCTATTAATTTTAGAATTTATTTGTATACCATCAGAAATCTTCATATTTACAGACATACCACCCTCAACATCTAACTCTTACTAATATAATACTATAAATCTTTTAATTATAAGCATTAATAGTTGATTTAAAATTCTTAACTGAGTTAAAATTAATAATAAAAACAATATTTGATGTGTGTTCTTCTTTTTAGCATGATTGCTAAATTAAACTGATGGGGTCGCAACAAGGGTTTAACCCTTCTTGAAGGTTTGTTGTTTGAAGTCTAACTACCATCTTATAGAATTTTCCCTTAACTTTGAGGCGGGCTTTTCTATCTCACGAGCCCAATGCATTCATGTTCTTTAACCATCCAACTTGAAATTTTACTAATAATATCCCCATCTATTTCACCATCACTCTGAACAATAGACCAAAGATATCGAAAACGTTTACTCTTATTAATGACTTGATCGCCCAAAGTCACAATCTCTCCACTAGATCTATCACTACTAAAGTTAAACTCCATTGTTGACCTCGATTTTCGTACAAGTGCCCTCGAGGGACTTGGGTTGATTTAATTGAACCTCTTTGAGTCTAGTTTAATCCAGATCAATGCCGATTTACATCTGATGGGGTTGATTCAAATTCGATTCCATTAAAATTGACTCGATAAAAATTCAATGGAACTTGAATCCACTTGAAATTGGGTTAAATTAGACCAGATCGCATTCGATTAAATTAGATCCGTTCTTTTTTTAGCCCCGTCGAGTTTGATTTGATTCAAGTTGTCATTTTATTTAAATTTAATTGTATTAATTTGATCAAATCAAATTGAACCCAAACTGACCTAAATCAACTTAAATTAGACCCGGTTCAGGTTCAATTTGAGCCTCAATTGGCTTAGCTTAATATTGATTAAATTCCAAATCCCTTTTTATTTAGTTTGAATTCTTCTCTAAATCAGGAAGTTTAATCAGAGAGCCAACGACGAGCTGCAGTGGTTCGTATCTGATCCTCGGCAGTTGCAGACTCCATTCGCATGCTAAAGCCAATGCGAGGATGGATAGCGAATGGCGGGCTTCTCCTTTTGGCATCAACGTGCAATTACCAAAGAACGAAGGCTTTAGACGAAGGAGGGTTTTTTTTTATTCCATTCGGCTCCTGGCATCCGAACTCTCCCTCTCTCACACTTGTTTTCGCACACAAGGGCCAAACACCCTGCCCTTTTTCGGTCTCTTTGCTCCAGGAGTTCACCTCCCCCTCTCTCGTTCTCGCCCTTTTCGCGGAAGGCCCAGGCAAAATCTCCATCTCGCCATCTTCCTCTACTCCGACGCTCTCCAGCCGAACCCGAAGCCGGATTCGCCCACCTCCCCGGCCTCAATCGAAGCCCATTCTTCTTCTTTAAGGCAGGTAACCCCTTTCCCTACTTCTTCTTCTTCTTCTTCTTCTTACACATCCCATTCTTCTTTCCTTTCTCTCATTCTCACTGATTTTTTTTTTCTTCTTCTTCTCCTTCTTAATCTCCTTCCTTTACCTTAGCTACCATGACTTCTTCTCATTTTAATCTAGAATCTTGCGGATAGTCTAATCAATGATAAGTCACATTTATGCAAAGTTGATTTTTGGCTAAAACTGAAAGTGTAAGTGCAACTTTATTGGGTTTATGTCCTTACATCTATAATCCTCTTACTCCCATGGAATTCATTCACTCCTTATGTTAAAATCAATGGTGGCTTGTGATGAACTAATGATAGTAGGTGATTTTATCACGATGTGTTAATTTATATTTCTCTCAAATATGTTGATTTGTCTTGTCTTAGAATAGACAATCGGTATATGAGACTTACGCTTGCTTCTTGTCATGTGATTTTGAGTTTTAGGTGTAAATCATGTAAAGTCATAAGAGGTCATGTTGTTGTTTACCGAAATATGCACATGAGATGTTTGTAGTAATGCATACTAGAAGATAGCTAGTATATTTATGCTTTGTCTCATCTATGCCTCTCTTTTATGGATATGGAAGTTCCGATAGGGTGAAGAACATACGTTCTAAACCTATTTTCCTTGCAAACAATTGGCGAATACCTTACTTCATAAGGAGATTTAGTAGTTTGAGCTATATATTTCTTTCCTTAAGGAAATTTTCCATCTTTTGCTAGTAAATGCATTTGAATGATTTTTGGTGTAGAGGGTTCACTGGTTTTTGTTGAAGGAAAAGTTTGGGAGATGATTATATCAACGCTCGGCAATGTTGATTTGTTTCTAACTCTTTTATTATTTGTCAAATCGATTGTTTGTTATTAATGAGCTTTGTGTAGATTGTGGAAGGTAGTGAGAAGCCATGTTGATTTCTTTTCAAAATATGCGTCTAAAGTGTTTGTGATAATGTTTGCTAGGAAAAGATACATGTTAAAAAAATGTTGGGGGTTGTTAATGCATCCGTACTTTATTTCACATATGCTTTTAGTGATCTTAGAGGTTTTTTTTAAAATGAAAAGTATGTTTATTTACATGTGTTACATGCATACAAGCTAGCTCACATTGGATTCTATGATAGCTTGCAATAGATGGGTTGCAAATGAAGTTAATTCCGTTAGACCGTTACAATGCATTAGTTTGATGAATATTTTGATGGTTAAAGTCATATAGTGGGTTGAATGTTCAGGAAGATTTGGGAATCTACTGCATGAAAAATGCTTGCATGTGTGGGAAGATTTGGAACTTTTGCATCTTTACTATTCTGCTTATACTCCATTCATTAGTATCATTATGAGAACTTGTTAGAGGACTTTTATGTATATTCATGTCATAAAGACTCGTTTTGTCTTGAAAATCTCTTGGAAATGTTTGAGATGTTGAAGGTTATGTGCGATGAGTTGAATAATATGTTGGAGATGATTTCTTAATATGAATGACCCATTCATGCTAATTATGCAAGTTCGTTGGAAAAATTACATGATTGTGTTGATTTGTTATCATGAGATTTATTTAATGCGAGTCAAAGAAGTGAATGAGCACAAAAGTTCTGTAACTTTCATTTACATACATTCATGATCACTTGATGCATCTTTTTGAGGTGGGAGAACATGCATATATTTTATGATTCTTTTGTAAGTTTGATTTGATGTGATGCAAATTTTATGTTGGGAATAACTTTATGCAATGCGAATTGTTATGAGCATGGGTATTTCCTTCACATTTTCTTTCTTATAGAGGTGTTGAGTGTATGTTTCGCAATGACTATCTTTCTAGAATGAAGGTACTTGAATAAAATTCTTTCTTAAAATGAGCAACAAGTTTTATCAGTTTCCTTTATAGAATTCAGATAAGAAAGCTGAAACCTTTTTTTTATTGGACCTTTTAAATTGAGATGACAATACTGAATTCTCTATCAAGCTTTATGTTTCATTAGTTTCATGTATTGAAGGTTCTCTCATGTATAGTTAAAAATGCTTTGATTAGAAAATCTTATATGTGTGCTTGCACTTGTACAACTTCACTTATACTTAGCCTGTTAGTATCATCATGAGGGTTTATTAGAGAATCTTCATGTGCTTTGTAGTTTATTTG